TAGCATCCAGGGAGAAGCAGCTCCAGCCCGCATGCTTTTCTGGGACAGCAGTACAATGAGGAGGACATGGGTATCCAGGGACCAAGGGCTCTGCTGCCATCCACCCCAGCTGTCCTGCAACCTTTTGCCCCAGTGCATACCCAAAGTCAAAGCAAGCAGAGGGCCCGAAGGTGGGGCACGGAGCTCTGTGAGTCCCATGAGCTGGGCCATGTGGCCATGAAGGACCATGGGTCTGTCTGAGCTGTGACAAGCTGTACCTTTAGTGCCTTCTGTTATGTGCTTATGTTTATGAGACTGGGAGGCAACCACTCACCCAGGTATTCAAGTGGGTCCATCTGGGAAGGAAGTCTGGTACTATGCACACTGCACACACACAGACCAGGAAGAGCCGGCTCCCACGTTGAGCAGGGAGCATAAAAGTAGGTCCATGGCAGGGATCATAGGTCAGGTAGAGGAGGAGTTGCATCCACACCTGTCTGTTAGGCCATTTGGTTCCCAGTGACATCACTTTCACCATTGCCCTAGCTCCCTCAGTCCTGCTGTTGCTAAGGAGCTGTGTTTAAACAGGGGTCTCGCCTGCGTTAGAGGTCTTAGCTTTTTTTGTTTGGGCTGGAAGAGCCAGACCTGTCCCTTGAGCCTTGTAGAGCCTTTGGCTTCTCCAGAGGTCAAGGCCAGTCTGGACCACCCCTTTTTTGATTGCTTCTTTGGACTTTCCAGTTATTTTTAAATGCTAGGGTAGAATTATGAGAATAGAAATGTGTTTTCTGTGTCCAGCCTGTCCTGTGAACCCCTGGGACCCAGGGGTTAAGTTCATTTGAACATATGAACAAAAATTTGAAGCCAGGGTTTCAAACCAATTGCACACATGGCTTCTGCACACAAGTGCGCAGGTACAGAATACTTTTCCCACCTCTCTGTTTGAGGGTTCCTCCCGTGTTTCAGCTGGTCCCTGCCCCAGACTGCATCTTGTTGCTTTCCCCTATCCCTCATTTCCTAAGGAAACCTCTGTCTTTTCTTTCCCTCTCCCTTTTTCCCTTCCCCTTCCTCTCCTTCCTTGACAGGGTTTTACCCTATAAAGCACAGATGGCTTACAACTTGCTGTGTAAGCTACGCTCGTCTTGAACTCACAGCAATCCACTGTCTCGGTTTCCCAGGTGCTGGGAATTTAGGTACACACTGGGCTGCAAGCCTCACTTTGCACCGTCCTTTACCAAATGAAGATTCCCAGAGTCTCCAGAGAGGCAGTTATGGTTTTGAACTTACATGATTTAACCTGCAGAGAAGTGATTCCAGGCTTTTAAACTCAGCCTTTAAAATACAAATTGATCTTTAGCTGTGCCACAAAGCCAATGACAGTATCTGCCCCAAGACGTGTTCCAATGGCCATCTCTACCCCAGGTAGCACGGCTGTTCTGGAAATGCAAGGATAAGCTCTTCCATTCCGATGAGTGGAGCTGGGGATTCGTTCTGCCTTTGGGGTGTTCATTGACACCCACATTGATGGTCACAGTGTGTTACATAGATGAAGAATGAGCCACCCAGTATGTCACTAGCAGCCAAGGTTGGTTCTGCCTGTGTGAGGCTGTGTGGCTCTCCTCCTATTTGGAGACTACAAAGGTTGAATTATTTGCATTTGACTTAGTGCTTGAGATGGAAGGAAGGCAGAGGGAGGTGAGGACGTCCAGGAGTGGTCCCCCAGGGGCTTTCCCCAGCTGGAGAAAGGCAGTTGAGAGGTGAAAACGGGGCTGGATCCACCGTTGCCTCCACACAGGCTGGGCATTTACCACTTCTGCGCAATACCCGAAGCATCCTGCCTGCAGGGGGCGCCCTCACGTGCACGGAACCTCTGTTTGTCCTGTCAGTTCTCCGGGGCACCCTTAGACCTGTCCCCAAGCAGTGACACAGGCACCCTGCTCTTCCTGCTGCACTCAGCGAAGATGCCCTTTGAAGCCCTTGGAATGTGGTACCCGTTCTCCTCTTGGTTAATCTCCAGAGTGTCGAGCATACCGCACTCTGAGTTTGGAGGACAGAAAGAATGTGACTGCTATTTCCTTGGCCTTCTCGCTTCAGTAGATGTCAGAGAGTGGGTGGCACAGGCAGTCATGTCTGAGCGGGACCTGGGACCCGTGCAAAGAGGGAAGTCTGTGAAGTTGGATAGAAGAGGCTCCAGAGGGGGCCCTGGAGAGTGAGGAGTAGGAAGCTGTGTCCAGGGGGCTGGGTGGTAAAGGCAGGACCTCCACACAGCGACCTGTGGTGTGAACTTGTGCTCGGAACTTAGATCTTCCACTCTCACTAGACCCTAACGACAGGTGATGCTTCTTTCGGATCTCTCCCCCAATGTCCCAGTCCTCCTGGTTATGACATATGATCCCTGCTCCCTTTAGCTACCCACTAGATGCCTTTACCCTGTCTACCCGACAGCAGGAGGGTGTCACGGAGGAGAGAGATACATGGTTGTCGTTCCCATGGGGCATGCGGCATTCTTGGTAATCCACAGACAGCAGGCAAAGTCCCATGCAGAGCTACATAGTCAGCTCGCTGTAAGTCACCCAGAGAGCATGGACTATGTCCTACTTCTAACATTCCTTCTGCATGGGGCTCGTGCCCCTTGGGGCTGACGTCAAGTTATGTGGGCCTTGCTAGGAAGCTAAGTGGCCTTATTGTGAGGCTGCAGCAGGAGCTGGATCAAGCACTTACCTCCTTCTTCAAGGCAGCCAACCTGTGCCACCATGTTCCGAGTGACAGGGATCATAGCCACCAAGAAAACCCAACAAGGGGGCTTGTCAGCCTGAACGGGTCAGGGAACCCAGCCACTTTGCTGTGTGTTGGTGAAGCAGGCTGGAGAGGGCCTCGGGGATCCAGAAATGGCATGCATAGGAAGGAAGAGAAAATTCCACGCCTCTCTCTCCCTCAGCATGAGGCAGCAGTTACGATGCTGCTTCTCTCCCTTGCTGAATGCCATTCTGAACAGTTTATGGCTCCACCCACAAACTGCTGAGCTGTGTTTCAGCATCCCCATGCCAACTGGACGGCCGCCTGGGTCAGCGTGGTGCACTTTCTACGATGTGTCAGGAGACAGGGAATATGGTGGCTACCCACTGTCTAGGTGAACTGAGACCAGAATTTACTTCACAAAGCCCTCAGAGATTTCCTATTGGTGTCCCAGCAATAGCTGCCAGGCCTTGGGTTTATCTCCTCCTGCCGGTGCTATGTTGGGGACCATGTGGCCTTGTTCATCTTACTTTGTAGACAGTCTTTTGAAGCTGATTTCCCTCGGTCCATTCTACAGAGAGAAAAGAGCTGGGAACAAGTGGCCAGTCTGATGCACAGTGAACTGAATTTTAAGTCATCAGGCTAGGGAGGTGGCTTGGTGGTTAAAGTGCCTACCTTGCAAGCATAAGGGTTAGAGTTTGGATCCATATCTGTGAGCTCTGGGTTTGATTGAGAAACCCTGTCTCAATGAATAAGGTGGGCATAAATGGTTGAAGAAGATTCACAATTCCAACCTGGGGCTTCCATATGCATGTGCACCCCCACACGTACCTACTCATGTGCACACATGCACAGACACACATCACACACACCCATGTAAATGGAAACAAAAAAATGTGGTAGTTGCATCCCTGGGTCTGGCCACTGCTCAAAAATCCAGCCATGTCATTGGCTTTATCTGTCTTCCTTTTGCTGTGAACAGCTTGGTTTTTCACAGACCGTGCAAGCTGGTGGGAAAGGAAGGCCTTTGAAGCTCTGGAGAATATGCGCAGTTTTTATTAAAAATTGCCACACAGATGCAAAAGAAAGCATGATTCCTCCAAACCAGAGCATGCTGCTTCAAGCCTGTTTAATAGAATTGTAATCGGTGGTTCCTGAAAATCATATAAACACACACGTGCACATGTCTTTAATCCCAACACTCAGGATGTAGAAGCAGGTAGATCTCTGAGTTCTACTTGGTCTACAGAGCAATTTCAGGACAGCCAAGGCTACACAAAGAAACTCTGAGAGAGAGAGAGAGAGAGAGAGAGAGAGAGAGAGAGAGAGAGTTCTTGACTTTAGGGTAATACAAAAGCAGTGTTGTGTTCGAGTAGGAACCACATTTGCATTTTAAACCTGGATCTTTTCTATGACCAGCAGTATGTCAGCTTATAATCCTCCTGTTTGGAGCAGTGATATTGAGCTATGGTTCCTGGTCGGTTGCCATTGTGAGGGGAGCAGCCGATACCCTGCAGTGTGCTGTGACTGAATTAGAGCAGTCTGGTTAGGGCAGCGCATGCATTTTCCACTTAAGATGTTTTTGGTTCATGGTGAAAATGTTATAGTAAGTTTAATAGTCTTTGTGTGTGTGTGTGTACACATGTGCAAAGAGGCCATATCAGTCAAAATGTGTGAGACCTGTCTCCCAGTGGTGAAACTGTCTTACATTATTCCCTTTGAATTAGCCCAGAATTAAAATGATGTGAGAATGCTAAGTAAAGTTTGCTCTCTGCTGGCCGCAGCTGAAGCACGGCAGTTTCCGAGTCCCCTTACCTCACATAGTACCTGCTGGAGAGCCACGGTGGAGCTGTAGGCTCCTCCCATCCGTGTCTCTCATATCAGTCTTCAGGGATGGGCTGCATGTGGCAGAACTCTTGTTAGCTAGATTCTTACAAGAGTCCTATAGAGTGTGTGCGGGGACTGCCTAGGTGTGATGGGTCTGGCACAGGAGGACCAGGGAACGGGAGATCAAGGTCAGAAGGAACAGAACAACAGGGCTTTTCTATGGAGACAGGTTTGGAAGGAAGGTGGGACTGATGGGTGTGTTCTGGGAGACAGGAGCATCCAAGTGACAAGAAGCCCAGGGAATGGGAGAGCTGGGCCGTGGCCTCCAACCGGGTAAGATGTCAAATGCAGGAGGGAGGGAAGGCTAGAGAGGGTAGCTGGCCTGAGGCCCAAGGCCAGGAGGACCTGGCCCCTGTCAGGTGGCTTTGGGAGTGAACACTTGGTCTGTCTTTGGGTTTCAGGTCCAACCAGAAAGATGCCGCCCAGTGCTAGCGCGGTGGACTTCTTCCAGCTCTTTGTCCCAGATAACGTGCTCAAGAACATGGTGGTGCAGACCAACATGTATGCCAGAAAGTTCCAGGAACGCTTTGGCAGTGATGGTGCCTGGGTGGAGGTGACACTGGCCGAGATGAAGGCCTTCCTGGGCTATGTGATCTCTACCAGCGTCTCGCACTGCGAGTCGGTACTCAGCATTTGGAGTGGAGGCTTCTACAGCAACCGGAGCCTCGCCCTTGTCATGAGCCAGGCCCGCTTTGAGAAGATCCTCAAGTACTTCCATGTCGTGGCCTTCCGTTCCAGCCAGACCACGCATGGGCTCTACAAGGTCCAGCCCTTCCTCGACTCCCTGCAGAGCAGCTTTGATGCTGCCTTTAGGCCGTCTCAGACCCAGGTGAGGCCAGTGTGCATGTGTGTGTCTCCATGCATGTTCATGCATGCATGTGTGTGTGTACACTTGCATGTGTATATCTGCACACATGTCCATGTATGCATATGTATATATCCATACATGGTCATGCATGCATATGTGTGTGTGCACTTGCATGTATATTTATCTCTACACATGTCCATGCATGCATATGTGTGTTTGCACTTACATATGTATATCTCCACACATGGTCATGCATTCATATGTGTGTGTGCTTGCATGTACATATATCTTCACACATGTCCATGCACGCATATGTATATCTCCACACATGGTTATGCATGCATATATGTGTGTACTTGCATGTATATATATATATCGTCACACATGTCCATGCATGCATATGTATATCTCCACACATGGTCGTGCATGCACATGTGTGTGTGCACTTGCATGTATATATATCTTCACACATGTCCATACATGCATATGTGTATCTGTGTGTGTGTGTGTGTGTGTGTGTGTGTGTGTGTGTGTGTGTCAGCCAAGGTGCCATTGAATGCTCTGAGTCTTTTCTTAGCTAGGGACAGGATTTAGGATGTCCTCTCTCCCTGTCCAGCCATACTTTCTCCAGTGACTTGAACAAGTCACTTCAAGGTCACCAGCCATACTCTTAACATTATGACCCAAACTTGTTTGTAAGGGATAGTGGCTTGAACCCCGACCCCAGACAGCTGGAATTCAACCCTTGCTCAGAGGTACAGCACTCTCCCCTTTCCACATCCTCCCGCTCCATGGCTCTTCCAGCACTGGGCTTTACACAGCTTCGTCTCAGGATCCCCATCCTGGTGGTTTTGCCTTCGCCTTCTGGACAGCGAAGGAGGGTGCTGGAGCTGCAGCTGCTCTTTTGGTCACTGGGACTTCTTACATGCAAAGGTTCACCTGGCCGCTCAGGGTAGACCCTGAAGCCTTTTCCAGGGTCTGGAGGCCCAGAACCCTGCCTCCCTCGGCTCCTGACCCACCCTGCCTCCCTCGGCTCCTGGACCAAGCGCTGTCATGCTGCCACACAAAGTCTGTGTCAGATTCTCAGACTCTCCTCAGAACTGCTGTTGATGTAGCACACCACGGAGGTGGCTGATATCTGTAAAGCTCTCTAACTCAAATTAAGAAGTTGTGTGCCTCGTAAGTAAGCTGAGTTCCCCTGTGGAGAGATCTGGTTACACAGAAGACCATTCTTGATGCCCATGACTTTCTTCTAAGAGGCTCCTGCTAGGCTTCCGTTCCTAATGTTCACTTCGGCCCAAGTCTGTACTGGTCCCCTATTCTGCACAACTGGACATCAGGCTTTTTGTGGGGGTCTGTTACTGTGTCTCAGGTCCATGGGCTTCTGAACTCTCTGCACAGGTTTCCCTACTGTTCTAGAACTTGCCAGACACCTTGTGAGAGCCAAAGGTGGGGTGGTGGGAGGACATGGAAAGCTACATTCTTGCCTGGGAACTTGTCTGCCTTTGTCTGTGGAAATAGTGTTCTTCCCTACGGTCTTGTCAGAGCTGGGGTCGGACTTGCTCCAGTTTCCAGGAGTGACCCTGCGCTGTCTCTCTTGTACCACCATTGTGACTGCCCTGAACACACAGATGCTCAGGCACATGCACATGTGTCTGTTCGTGCACACACACACACACACACACACACACGTGTGCACATGCACACACAGGTACATGAACTCTCAGTGTGCAACCTTGGCAGCTATTGTTCTAGCAAATGTTACCCTTTGCAGAAGGTTTTGCAGAGTCCTCAGAAGACCCCAGAATCTGCCAGCAAAAGAAGCCATTTTTGTGTGTGATGTTCACATACAAGCACATTATTTTCATCAAAGCAGGAGCCAGATTAACCAGAGAAATATCCCTGGAGAGGGATTATGCAAATAAGCCAGAGATGTTTGTCTACCGTACGTGCTACCTGGCACACCCTGAGTGGCTTGTCGCAGAGGGGACTCAGGGATAGTGCAGTGTGACAGAGATGCCGGCTGTTTTCCCCAGAGGAGGGAGAGACTCAGATTCTTGCTGGCCCTGCTGGGATGCGCTTATCAGTGTGGTTGAAGAGCATGTGGAGATGTTCTCACTTGTTCACTGAGGAAGAGAAACAACAGATGCATGGTCCGTCCAGTCAAGAAGACGGGAGGGGAAGAGCAGGGAGCCAGGGCACCTCCATGCTGTCTTCCCTGTTCCTATGTGATGGAGGAAGGTCATTGGCTAATAAAGGAACTGCCTTGGCCCATTTTATTGGTTAGAAGATAGGTGGGAGGAGTAAACAGAACAGAACACTGGGAGGAAGAGGAAGTGAGGTCAGACTCCACAGCTCTTCTCTCGGGAGCAGACGCCTCAGAGAGGGATGCCATGCTCCCCGCTCCAGGGAAGACACACGCCATGAAGCTCCGACCCAGGATGGACTAGGCTAGAATCTTCCCGGTAAGACCGGTTCTCACAGATTATTAGAGATGGGTTGATCGGGATATCAGAATTAGCCAGTAAGGGCTAGAGCTAAAGGGCCAAGCAGTGTTTAAATGAATACAGTTTGTGTGTTGTTATTTCAGGCATAAGCTAGCCAGGCAGCCGGGGTGCTGGGGACGCAGCCCCCCGCCACTCTTATTACTACACCTATGATCTCCTTAGATTGTCCATTTTGCTAGATGGTTCCATACGGGGCTTTAGATGTCTCACAAGCTTCAAGGAGTCAGGGACTGTGAGGAACTGGGCATGAAGGTCTGGGCTACAGCACAGGCAGGCCACCTTGTCCATTCCCTTACCGAGCAGAGGCAGGGCCACATCCTGAAGTCACTTTCAAGATTTTCCAACAATAAAAATCCAAGGGGCAGAGTGTGCCAGTGCATACCAGTGAGGTGTGGCTGATGCTTTCTTAAGAAGAAAGATTATTTTTATTTTATATCTATGAGTGGTTTTGCCTGCATGTATTAAATACAGTACATGTGTGCAGTGCCCACAGAGGTCAGAAGGGGGCATTGGATTCCCTAGAACTGGAATTCTACAAGGTTGTGAGCTACCATGTGGGTGCTGAAAACCAAACATGGGCCCTCTGCAAGAGGAACCATCTAAAAAGCCCTGAGGCCGATACTTTTAAAATAGAACCAAAGGCACTGTTACCAAAAGAATGCTGGGTCACGAGTGCAGAGCTCACCTTCCAGGGTGCCCGTGCCGGGCCATGGACTAAGGCAGCTCTTCAGAAGGGTCGCATGCCCTGAGCTGACTCAAACCTGCCGATAGAGACACACTCGACCACTGTCTCTAGGAGCTGGGGTCCTTGAAACTTGTTCCATACGTGGCCAAAGATGGCTTCGAATGGTCCTCTTGTGGGTCCTGTCCCTTCTTTCCTGTGGCCACAAGGCTGCAGCATTTGAGGACAGAGAATTATTCCAATCAGTTTTGTTCATAAAAATAGGCAGTAGTTTGATGGTCCTCTGTTTAGAGCACTGTGTTGTGTGGAAATCCGCACGTCTGCATGTCATCTTTCTTTACAGCAGATGCACACTCTCATAGCTCATAACCGTGGAATGGAACCGGGGAGGGAATTGTAATATGCACTGTGCTGCCTCGGTGTACTCCCAACCAAGCACTTCAGTGTGAAAAGCCAACTTGGAGTCTTTTTATTTTATTTTTTCTTTGAAAAGGTCATAAAATCATGTTATCAAGGCGTTGACATTGGTGAAGGACAGTTAATAATTGCTCAGGGTGTCAAAGCTGGAGCGATGGCTCAGTGGCTCGAATGCTTGCTGCTCTTGCCGAGGATCCAGGCTCACTTCAGAGCACACATTGGGCAGCTCCCAACCACTCGCACCTCCTGTCCCAGGCTCAGATGCCTCTGGCCCCCTTGACACCTTTGTAGTTGCTTTCTTTGTTTGTTTGCTTTTACTTTTGCCCCCAAATAAATACATGGAGACTCACTCTTACCTACAAATGCCCAACCTTAGCTTGGCTTGTTCCTAGCCAACTTTTCTTCAACTATCCCATCTGCCTTTTGCCCCTGGACTGTTGCCTTTCTCTGTCCTATATACCTTTCTTTGTGGCTGGCCGGGTGGCTGCATGCCTGGCCCCCGCATCCTCCTCTCCTCCTTTTCTTGCTCCTCAATTCCTTCCCTAGACTTCTCTTCCTATTCATTCTCTCTGCCTGCCAGCCCCACCTAACCCTCTCCTGCCGGGCTATTGACCATTCAGCTCTTTATTAGACCAATGGTGTGTTTTAGGCAGGCAAGCAGCTTCACAGAGTCAAACAAATGCAACATAAAAAAATACAACACATCTTTGTGACATTAAACAGATATTCCACAGCATAAACAAATGTAATACATCTTAAAATAATATTCTGTGACACGTCTTCATTCATGTTCACATATGCCCCCACACACACACCTACACACACAATGACACAAATTGGGACTGGTGCCCCTGGGCCAATGATATAAATCACTGATATAGGACACAGTCATACCTGGCTCCATCCCTGTGATGTAAGGTTTTGACATGACCCAAGGATCTAGGGTTCCAGATACAGTCACTGAAGATGGGCCTGGGATAGCAGCTCTGAGCCTGTTGTCTCATGCCAGGGAAGATCACAGGCATAGCCAGCGTGGGATTGTGCAAGGAGGACAGCAAGAACCATGCCATAGCTGATAAAGGACTCTGCTGCGGGTCAGGGTGTAGGTGAGTGCGCCCATGCTTCCTAGCTGAGTCCTCCCCAGAACAGCAGGTAAGGAGACTTCAGGTCAGAGAAGCCAAGCGACTTTGGCATGGTCACACAGCCTTCTGAAGATGTTGCTGAGAACCAAGCTCACACTGCCCTATGAGAACTCGTGTATTTCCTTTTCCCGAAGGTGCTACATGAACCCCTGATTGATGAGGACCCTGTGTTTATCGCCACATGCACGGAGCGTGAGCTGCGGAAGAGGAAAAAGCGGAAATTCAGCCTGTGGGTCCGCCAGTGCTCTTCGACCGGCTTCATCATCCAGGTGAGTCGGGGGCACTGCAGAGGGGGGATGAGAGGTGTCAGAATTGGGGGCTGCGGGGGGATATGCAGACACTGAGGAGATGGGAAGGGCGAAGTGGAGTGCCCTGAGCCCAGTCAGCTCACTCTTTCCCCGCTGTCACGCTCGGCTCCGGCACTCCAGCAGAGGGCAGTCTGTCTCACTTCACCTTCTGTGGGGAAGCTGGTCCCAGGAGAGGACTCAGCCATGAACTGACTCCACCCCTGTCGTGTAGGGGTTTTGAGATGACCCAAGGACCAATGGTGCCAGACACTTAGAGGCACTAAAGATGGCCTGGGATACTGGCTTTGAGTTTGTCTCGGTGAAGGCAAGCTTTATTAAGGAGAATTCGGTAAAGGTGGGGGATTGAGGAAAAGAAAGAAAAGCCCCTGAGAGCTGGAGGGTTTCCAGGAGGGAAAGCCATCAGACTTCCTTGCCTAGGGTTCGTCTGGGGGCGTGGCAGAGACTGGACATTGGCTAAAGTAATTGCTTCGAGGCTGGTTAGTCCTCTTGACTGCTGTGGGCTGAGCCGATGGAGGGACCATGTGCTCCATGCATGTCCCCTGACCCAAATATGGAGATTATCATGTGTTGTTCAGGCCATTGGGGTGGTTGGAGCCCAGCTCTATCTCTGGGTCCATCAACAAAGTGCTGACCTTGAGTGTCTGCCTGTCAGTCATTGGCTGTGTTGCTAGCTCCAACCTTATTGATGTCTCAAGTGCTGCTGCTTGCACTGTGTCCTCTCTGCTCATTTACATGGCCAGCCACAGTTTCAGGCTCCAGTTACCTGCTGTGAATCACCATCTGAAACTATCACTTAAAACACTCCAGGAATAACCGTTTCTTAGGTGCTGGGCCTTTCTTGAGTAGGGAGATGGAGTCCAAGGTCCACCCTGAGAAGGGAGTCACCCACTTCCCCAGCATATCCAGCCTGTATACACCACCTGCCCATAAGTCACCTTGCTGCTGTCTGTCATCGGGTCACCTAGCACAGTGCTTGTGCCAAAAATGAGCCGTATTTCCATATAGCGACCTCCAGATGAAAGAGTCATGATGCCGACCCAGCAGATTCGTCAGAAGTGTACAGCAAAGTGCTAAGCCAAGACATAGCGTGAAAGTTCTTGAATGGATAAGGAAAGAGAGACAGTTGTATGCTGGCTTGCTGAGGTCTGTGCTCAGAAGGAATCTCCCTATGAAGCTGTGAAGAAGGGAGGTTTGGGCTCATTTTGTTGTCATATTTCAAATTGCAAACGGTGTAACCACAGCTCACAGCAAGACGCAGAATAGTGCTGTCTGTCAGATGTCTGCTGGAGATCATGTAACAATCCTAGGATAGAGGTGATGGCTGAATTTTTATAAAAAGCACTTTGGGGGCAGGGGTGTAGCTTGGTAGAGTGCCTTCCTTGCGTGCACAAAGCCCTGGGTTTGATCTCTAGCACCACATAGCTGGTATGGTAGTTCCTGCCTGTGAACCTAGCACTTAGGATGTTGAGGCATGAGGATCAGAAGTTCAGGGTTGTCTTCTGCTACATACAAGATCAAGGCCAAGCTGTCATACATGAAGCACCCTGTCTAAAAAAAATAAACCCTGGAGCATAGTGTTTCTGAAGCTAATTGTGGATGTGTGCAGCGTCAAAACACGTATATTCAGCTGCATTTACAGAAGATCCATGCAGGCCAGGACCACCAGCTTCCAGACCAGTGCTGAACCCAGTGGCTCTGTTGTTCTGCCCCACATCTCAGTGCAGTATTGCCCGCTCTGTTGAAGACGTTCTTGCTAAGTCACATTCCTGTGCGTTGACCTAAGTACAGAGTTGGGCCTTTGCGTTCTGTTCTCTTCAAGGACACGTGTGCTTGGTAGGTGACCTCCCAAACTCACCAGACAGGATGGGTCCTGGCATGGTAGCTGGGTCTCCCACATGCTCCTGGGTGTTTCTCAGAGAGCCGAGCAGCCCTGGCATGGTCAGACTGCTCCATTGTCAGCGTGTGCTGCAGGGCAGGGCAGGGCAGGGCAGGGCAGGCACGAGAGAATGGTAGTGGGTTGTGTGCAAGGTCTCTGAGCACTCCCAAGAATGTCTGCTCTCTTTAGGGGAGGGGACTAGTTGGTACCTGACATCAAATTCATCCTCTTTCCCACGCCTTTGGTGGCAGTCATGGAGCTAGCATGGATTGTGTAGGGACTGCTTCCTAAGTTCAACACCCCCTCTTTGATGACCTGGCCCCTGGGGTGTATCTGACCTCCACTGTATCTCTGGTATGGTGAGACAGGTGAGGCCTGCTCTGCCTTTGAGCTGACAGGTCATTTTGCCCAGTGGTTAGTACCTATATAAGAGCATGCCTGGCCCTTGAAATGGCCCTTGCTTCTATGTTTTTTATATTTTTATTTATGTTTGGGAATTTAGAAGCATGTTTGCATCACTTTTAACTGCCAGTTTTGCCATCTGTAACTGCTCCTTTCCCACCTAGACTTTTCCAGAAAGAAGCCTCCAGGCTGAACCACCAGCTGCTCAGATTTTGGGTTGCCATGGTGGTGACGCAGGACTGCACGAGGCTGATGAGATACTGGGGTAGCTTCCTCATATTCTCTGCCCCTATGTGTCCTGCAGCGTCATGCTATGGTCCATGTTGCCTTTGACTGTCTGATCTCTGTACATTTCCGTTCAAGATCTATGTCCACCTGAAGGAAGGTGGTGGCCCAGATGGCCTGGATGCTCTGAAGAACAAGCCCCAGCTCCACGGCATGGTGGCCCGGAGCCTGTGCCGGAATGCGGCTGGGAAGAATTATATCATCTTCACAGGGCCCAGTATCACCAGCCTCACCCTGTTTGAAGAATTTGAGAAGCAAGGTTTGTCCAGTGGCCATCCCATCGTGGCCAGCTCCTTGGGGAAGGGGTGGGAGGTGAAGAGGACAAGAGTGGTGGCCAGCACAGGCTGCACAGGCATCTCGGCTGCCCCGTGTCTGGGTTCTAGTGATCTCAAGGTGTTAGTTAGTCCTGGGCTCACCATCTAGAGACCACATCAACACAGAGCTCTGCCAGTCTTCTGGGCACTCATGTGTGTGTCCTTTGCTGTGTGGTTCTGGCCATCAGGGGCCTGGGGGAAAAGCTCCTAGTAAGAGGGGTCTGGAAAGTACGAGAATCACCCACCATCACTAGTGAGACTCTCCTTCCCGTCCGGCAGAGACCTGTGTGGTCAGGGACAGTCCCATGGGCTTCTTGGAGCAAGAGGTTCCATTTGTTCTTTGCAGACTTGATAAGCTTCCCATGGCTTTGACAGAAGTTGGATGTAAAAATGCTAAGCTGTGCTTGGAGACAGCTCAGAAAGTGTCACTCATAGAAGAAGCTACTAGAATTGAGGCATTTTGCTCTGCCACAGAGTAGACGTGAGACTTTAAAACTGAACCCTCCTGTATTGTGGAGGGTCTTGGAAGCTGTGTGGAAGTGGGGGAGCAGTCCACCTCGGCACTGCAGGCTAGGTAAGGGTGACTGTCCGCACTGCAGGCTAGGTAAGGGTGACGACTGTCCGCACTGCAGGCTAGGTAAGGGTGACGACTGTCCGCACTGCAGGCTAGGTAAGGGTGACGACTGTCCGCACTGCAGGCTAGGTAAGGGTGACGACTGTCCGCACTGCAGGCTAGGTAAGGGTGACTGTCTGCACTGCAGGCTAGGTAAGGGTGACTGTCTGCACTGCAGGCTAGGTAAGGGTGACTGTCCGCACTGCAGGCTAGGTAAGGGTGACGACTGTCCGCACTGCAGGCTAGGTAAGGGTGACGACTGTCTGCACTGCAGGCTAGGTAAGGGTGACGACTGTCCGCACTGCAGGCTAGGTAAGGGTGACGACTGTCTGCACTGCAGGCTAGGTAAGGGTGACGACTGTCTGCACTGCAGGCTAGGTAAGGGTGACTGTCCGCACTGCAGGCTAGGTAAGGGTGACTGTCTGCTCTCAGAACTCATCTGTGGCGAGAGCTGAGCAAGAGATCAGACTGAGGGGAAGGAAAGCTGCAGAACTGGTCCTAGAACACATGACGCAGAAGCTTTGGAGGAGATCCGGCTCTCCATGAAACACAGTGGGCAGCTGGCCTGCTGCTTGAGCCCATGTCTGCGGAGGCATGTTTAGAGAGGCGTGACCTCTGATGGTGTCTGCACAGATGTATGTGATGGTCCACTCCCGCCTGGGTTTGCTGTCAGTACTGGAAGTTGTGTTTTCTATGCCCCCTCTATCTGTGTGTGTGTGTGTGTGTGTGTGTGTGTGTGTGTGTGTGTGTGTGTGAGGGGCGGGGGGGGGGGAGTAAGCAGCTTGAGTGTTGGTACCAGAGCATGGCCTGGACCACTGGGGCTGCTTCCCCAGAAGTCAGGAGTGTAGCTTCTGAGATCCAAGGCTCAGTAAGCTAGGAGATGGGCAGAGAACTGTGGCTGGACAAGAGTGACTGGGTATGGACAGGACCTCAGCAGCTGCTTCTGAGGGTTCTGCTCGCACCTGTCTCTCCTTCCCTGGGTTGTGGGTGGGGCACCCTGACAACGGCACATGTGAGATTTTGCATCTTTCCTGCCAGGGATCTACTGCTGTGGCCTACTGAGCTCTAGGAAAAGCGACTGCACGGGCCTCCCTCCATCCATGTTGACCAACCCTGCCACCCCACTCGCCCGGGGCCAGTACCAGATCAGGACAAAGGGGAACATGTCTCTGATCTGCTGGTATAACAAGGGGCACTTCCGCTTCCTGACCAATGCCTACTCCCCTGTGCAGCAAGGTGAGTGGGGAGTGTGAGTGTGGGTCTAGGAAGTCGGGGGCATCCAGGGCACAAGCCTGGGGCACCCTCATGCTGGCTGTGTCCTAGGAAGGGGCAGGGAAGAGCCTCATGAAGCCCTTAGCAAGCTGGGAGGATTTGATTGACGTGGCTTTGTGACCTACCTGCTTGTTAGGGTGTGATGCTCCTATTGTTTAGAACATAATGATGCACTGCATTCTGGGTGGATGCGTGGATCATCTTATCATCGCGGACTCCTGCAAGCAAAGCGCCTGTGTAATCCTGGCTGCCAGGCGGCCCACTGCTCTCCTCACTAGTTCTCTGGGGATTTAAAATCTATTCAGAACAGAGGGACTTAATTAGCCCAGAGTCTGTATTTAAAGTAACTGACAGTTAAGACGGTGTTAAACTGCTGAGAGAAAAATTGACGATTGCAAAGGAATCTGCAGAGCTGCTTCCAATGTGGCATTCACGTGCACTGCTTGCATTCCTGTTTGCATGCTGGGAGTGTGACATGCAGGTTCCTGTAGCATGCACACATGTGTGTGTGCGCGCGCGTGTATGTGTATATATACATGTATGTGTAGTGGTACAATGTATGTAGGGTTGTGTTACACCTGTGATCCACAAGTGCTTCTGCGGCAGTGTATATATGTACATCCTCCGTATAGTATGTGTTTCTGTCGTGTGACCTAAAACAAGCCAGCACAGTGGGCCACCCTAAGCATGCCCAGTGCACACCGTGCTAGGAAGGACACTTCCATCTTTGTCCCTGTGTCCGGCAGAGGCTAAGCAGACAGTGCAGGGCAGGCCAGGGAACAGGCATCATACAGCAGCCATTGGTGCAATGGAATGGGGAGGTCCCGTGGGTTCTCTTGCCCCCCCCCCCCAGGCTCTGCTGGTTGTGACTTGTGCTATGACTTTGGAGGCATTAGCTGCATTCCCTTTGTATGTGCCAAGAATTCTGAGGTAGATGTGTCTGTCAGTGATGGGTAACAGTGGGGAAGGCAGGGAACTTTCCAGCCCAAGCCCCAGAAAAGGACCTTGAGAGGTGTGAGGGGGTTGGGCCTGGTGTGGAGGGGCGGCCTCCTTGCTTCTCTGTGATATGATCCCACCCACACAATAAAGGGCGCAGAGAAACTGCCACTGTCCCCCTCCCAGTCAGCCACTGTGGGGAGGAAGAGAGAGCGCTGCTTCCCTTCAGTTCCTCTCAGGCTTAACCTGGTAGTGTTCTCCTGTGGATTTGTCATTGTCCCTGTGCCCCCTTGGTGGCAGATGTCTTTGCACTTGGCTGCCTTCAGCGTCCCCTCCCCCTCTGCTAAAGCACCCGATGGGCGGTGCTGATGCAGTTCCCCACCCCACGCCACCCCCAGGAACTGGGCAGCCAGGAACTTGGGGAAGTGCTTAGAAACCTGAGCGCCCCACATCTCCCCCACAGGTGTCATCATCAAGAGGAGGAGTGGGGAAATCCCCTGCCCTCTGGCTGTGGAGGCCTTTGCTGCTCACCTCAGCTACATCTGCAGATATGATGATAAGTACAGCAGGTGCGTGTGGGGGCGGCCGCTGTGCCTTCAGGGGGCGGTGGCTGGCTGGGGGCAAATGACACTGGCACACTGTGTGTTGGGAGGTAGTGTTGGCCCATACATGCTGAAGAACATGCATTTGGAGCATGAGGCGCTATGAGGTCGTTCCTGGTCCTCCTCCTGGCCCCAGGTGGCCTACACACCCACCTTAGCTCCACACAACACCACCACACACCACTCAGCTCACAGTCCAGGCCTCCATCCCCACCTGAGGCCCCTTCCCTCACAAGATGCCCAGTGATGGGCATCCTGGCACACACTTCAGCCTTTATCCTCCATGGGCTTCATCCGTCCTACCCCCCTCCCATCTGTCCACTGAGTCCTTGGTTCCTTTGCACAAGAATCCCTGTGATCAGGTGTGGGCTTGCACTGTGCACATACAGTATGCAGAAGGCACATGCACTGTGTGCAGCAGATGTGTGTGACTTACATGTGCACAGAGCTAGCCTGCCCAGGCATCCTGATACCCAGAGGAGGCTGTTGTACACAGCGCTAGCCTGCCCAGGCATCCTGATACTCAGAGGAGGCTGTTGTGCACAGCGCTAGCCTGCCCAGGTCTCCTGATACCCAGAGGAGGCTGTTGTACACAGCGCTAGCCTGCCCAGGCATCCTGATACCCAGAGGAGGCTGTTGTGCACAGCACTAGCCTGCCCAGGTCTCCTGATACCCAGAGGAGGCTGTTGTGCACAGCGCTAGCCTGCCCAGGTCTCCTGATACCCAGAGGAGGCTGTTGTGCACAGAGCTAGCCTGCCCAGGTCTCCTGATACCCAGAGGAGGCTGTTGTGCACAGAGCTAGCCTGCCCAGGTCTCCTGATACCCGGAGGAGGCCGTTGCGCATGTAGATGCCTTCATCACAGTCTTCCTACCCAGAGCAGAGCTAGTCCAGCTGGCCAGGTAGCCAAGCACTAGCTCGACTGCCTAGGGGAACCTCCACTGTTGGGCCTATGACCTGGTCTGGAGCACCTAGCCTGTGAGAAGCCACCTCTTCCGCCTTGACAGGACACTTACCACATCAGCGCCACCGTGTTTCAAAGAAGGTGGTGGCTTAGTGGACACAGGGGTAGTGTCCTGTGCTTGACACTCTGGCAGTCTTCAGACATGATATAGCCAGGATGCAGAGAAAATATCTAGGAAAAGATAATCCTAAGAGATAAGGTTCTGGGCATGAATAGTGTCTCAGGGCCAGCCCCAGCGCCCTGCATCTTCCCCAAGGAAGGACAAATGAAAAGCATCTGGGAAAGAGAGTGCCTCGCGGGCCCGGAGCTGAGGGAGCAAGTACTTCAGGTGTAGATGGGCCTAGAGCAGGGCTTTGGGAAGAGGGCTGCTGGGGGCTGGGGTCGGGCCTGCTGTAGCCCCACCCTCTCTCCCATTTCTCAATAGCTGTTCCTTTTTCTTTGTTTTCCTTGAGTGAAGTTCACTGTGACAGAGCCCTGCCCACAGCTGGTCCCTGGCGCCCCCACCATATGGGTGTCTGTAGAAACTGTGACCAAGTGTAGAGTCTCTGGAGCCTCTGGGTTCTTCTTCCCAGCTTCCCAGCTTCCCAGCTGCGTGACTTTTCTTAGGAGAGGAGAACAAACACTTGTTCACCCCAGATCGGGCACTCGTTACAGATTAAAGAAATAGTTCCAATAGTCTATCCTAGTCAGCCAGCAAGTTTATCATGGTCACTGAACAGGAGCATGGGTGACAGTGCCCAAAAGCTCCATTCCTGGGGTTCCCTCAGCTGATTGGAGAGTCCCCTCCTCCCAGTATTTGCATGGCTGATATAGCCTTGGGATGGGACCTTGTGAACACTGCACTCCCCAGCCCCCCAAGTTCCAAGAGCTCCCTCAGTGGATTTTATTTCTTCCTGTGATTTGTGGGTTTTGTTTACTTCCTGCAACTTAAAGAGCTTCCCTCCACGAGGAAGGGGTGGAGCGTTTAAACTTCGGGAAACAGCTGTGTGACATTGTACTCCTCTCTCCCCAGGTATTTCATCTCTCACAAGCCAAACAAGACGTGGCAGCAGGTGTTCTGGTTCGCCATCAGCATCGCCGTCAACAACGCCTACATCCTATACAAAATGTCAGATGCCTACCACGTGAAGAGGTACAGCCGGGCTCAGTTTGGAGAGAGACTTGTCAGGGAGTTGCTGGGCCTGGAGGATGCATCACCAGCCCACTGAGACTGTGCTGGCCCAGGGGTGGCAGGGACAAGGAGGGAGCCAGTCACCTGCCTGCCTGTTGGAGGGCCCATGTGTGGCCAGAGGGTCTGCTTTCAGCATCACCCCCCCCAAAGTGGGTGGGCTCCCCAGAGCCCAGTACAGGTGACTGGAGGGGCTGTGGCGGCGGAAGCTACCAGCAGCAGGACCGATGGACCGTGCTCTGCTGCCCAGAGCTTGAGAGATCATGACAGGCTCAAGTTCAAACCAGGCAAGCTTGCAAAATGGGCCACTCAGTGCCACCACTCAGCACCTAGGGACGTGTGTGATCAGCTTAGATGGCTCCCTTGAAAGAAGACATGCGGTGTGGTGCCGTTAAAACTCCAGGAGACAGGAGCGGCTGCAGCTTGCTGACTAAACAGGGTGTTCCTGCTGCATCCTCCACGGGGGCTGGTGCGGGGCAGGGCCGAGAGGGAACCGAGAGGTTCACAGAGAAGAGCAATGCTGTTTTTTTATTTTTCAATATATCTTCAGGTTATTTTCCTACTGTTGCTTAAGGTCTACTGTAAACGAGATGTGTCCCTTCCTCTCCCACCCCCGACACCCTCACAGTCCCCTGCATGATCACAGTTCTGTGTCTGGCCTGGGGACCCGCAGGCTGTGCTCTTCGTCACCATGTCGTTGTTGGCAGAATTACTTGTTTTGAGAAATACGTAGCGTTGTGAAAACAAAATCCTCCAGCATCCTTTCTGTGTGTGGTGGTCCCCCAGAAAGGTACGGCTGGATCGGGAGGCCCTGGCTAGGGAACCCCCTGTGACTCGACCTGAGGTTGGGGACTTCCCACAGCAGGGGCCGGCAGCAGCTGGCAGCAAGGCGTGTGGAATCCAAAGACCCAGGCCCTTCTGCCAGAGGTTGACGCATCTCCATGGAGCCTCCGCCCCGAGGTGGATCCACCATCCCCACACACGGGAACGAGGGATCTCTGCACCTTGCAGCAGCCCCTTCATCTGAGCGCCACCGCCACCTAATCTCTCCAGACACACAATGTCCTCAACGGGGGCTTCGGGGCACTCTTCCGTGTTCATTTGGTGAGCTGAGGTGTGGCTGCACCTCGTCACTTCTGTGTCCTCCCTCTCCACAAGCGCCCTCACTTGTGGTGGGACCCGCGATGCTGTGGATCGTGGGCCTGATTTCAGATTGTGTTTGAGATAATCTTTGCTGTACCCTTAACTGGATTGCGAGCACTTTTGCCACGTGGAGAAATATATTTTTAATTTGTGACGCTTTTCTACAAGGTCCACCTTTTTCTGAGTTCAGGTGTTTCCAACACTTAGGGAGACTAACGAAGGCCAATGACTTTTTCTTTTCTGTCCAAACAAGAAAAATAAAAATAAAAGTCTATTTAGATGTCGGCTGTTAGTATGTGGCTTTGTTTCTAGGGTCAGGGTTAGAACGCTACTCCTCTGACCTTGCTTTCCCATCGTGTGACCGGGTATGTGTGAGCTAAACTGTTGGTGGAATCGTGAGCCACAGGAGAGTTTATCAGAGGAATCAGCGAGGATTGATGTGTGGATATACATATGAGTGAATGACAGTATCTCTGAGTGTAGCTGTCCAGACTCCCACCCCCCAAATTATTTTTAGTCTTGGTTACCTGAGGTCAACTGTGATCCAAAAATACTAAATGAAAAATTTTAGAAATAAACCTCCCATAAGTTGTAAACTTTTACTATAACACATTGCTACAGTTGTTGTATTTTATCGTTAACTTCTTACTGTGCCTAATTAAACTTCATCACAAGAGTGTAAATAAAGAAAGAAACATAGTGTGTGATTCCAGCACCCATGCATGGTCTTGGGTCTCAGAAACTTTCCCTGCTGAGGGACGGCTAGGGACCATTGGGTCGCTCCCACAGGAGGCCAGCAGGTGGCGCTGTTCTACCGGGCATTTGCTCCCGTGACCTGCTGGAGCCACCCCAGGGTGCAGGTGCTCTTTGTGGCTCTGGTGCCACCTGTTTTCTCTGAATAGTGGGAACATGGCAGCTCGGCCGTGGGGGCACGGCAGCCTGTGAGGCACCTGTGGGCTGGGGTTAGAAAACCTTCAGCTATGGGCCTTGCTCCTCGGGTGTGCCTTGGAATGGCTTCGGGCACCACTGTCATTAAACTCACTGGACGAGGCCAGTGTCTCCTGGTCCTGAAGCAGACGTCCCTGGTCCCTGTGTCTGCTTTCTGTCACCCAGACAGAAGGCAGGCCTGTTAGATCACAAGGCCAGACCGTCCTTCTCACAGCTGCAGGCATCTTAGCACGTAGCTCACCCGTCTGGTTTAACAAGGCAGAATATCTTGACAAGAGGACGTGGGAGAACAAAGCTGTTGACTCTGTGGCAGCAAGGAAGTAAAAGGTCCCAGTGTCCTGTTCAAAGGCACACCCTGACGGCCTAGCCTCCTTCCGCTGGACACCCTCCTGCTGGTTCTGCCACCACCCGACTGAGGAAGATGTCTCCAACGTAGCCTTTGGGATGACAGTGACGATCCATATCCCAGTGACCCAAGAAGTAATTCTCCCAGAGGTGTAGCACAGGTCCCAAATCCTTCTTGCATGTCCCATATGTCACCACTTCCCCAGGGATGGGCCTGGCAGAACATACAGGACCAGCGGCACCACACTTCCTATGGCCAGTGAGGCCTCTCTTGGTTTAAATGTGTTCTTCAGGGGTTTTCCTCCTTACCAGGCATAGATAGGAAAAAATCATGAACTCTAGACCCCTCCTATGAAACAAACCCCAGAATTTCTCTAAGGCAAATGGTCCTCAAGGCCCCCTGAGCAAGTCACGCTGTTGTCCAGAGGATGCAGTGTGTGGTTAGCGGCGGCCTCTGGTGAACTCAGTTCAGAGTGTAAATATCTGTGTATTTGCCCCTTTCCTTTCTAGGTTCAGTATTTGTCTGACAGGAGGCTCTGATCGGGACATTGTCTTCCGTGGTCTTTGGGTCACCTTTGAAAACTTGGGTGGGTCATTCTAGGCAAAGACTCCCTGGCTACTGACTAACCAAGGAGGCTCTCCACCAAGATGGAGTACCCTGTGTGTAAGAGTCAAGATGAACTCTTCCCCAACCCACAGCCCAAAGCTCTAAATCTCTCATCTACAGCCAGCCCTCGGCACCTGAGGCTGTGGGTGTGGAACAGTGCTGTGGAGCAGTCACCACAACAGTGGCACCAGGGACCGATCCGCCCTTCTGTGGACTCATCAAGGGTACAGGTCATGTTGTCAGTGTGTGGCCAGCAGTGGGTTAGCACAAGCAGGCAGTCGAGCATGAAGAGGCCCGAGTGAGGCCCTCTGTGCCTTCCCAAAGAATTATTAATAAGACAGTAAATTTAAGATTGTCTTTAATTTTGCTGCAAGACAAAGAAGGAAGGAAAGGGGAGAGGGAGAGGGAGAGAGAATTCATCCGGTGGCTGGAGAGATGGCTCAGTGGTTAAGATCACTTGCTGCTCTTACAGAGGACCCAAATCCAGTCCCCAGCACCCACACCAGGTGGTTCACAACTACCTGTAACTCCAGCTCCAGAGATCCCACACCCTCATTCTGGACTCTGCAGAAACCTGCTCTCAAACACACACATTCACACAGACACACACACACACACTTGTACACATCAGTAAAAATAAGTATTTTAAAAGTTCACCTTGAGTTTGCAAGGTAGGAAGATGGGTGCATTCAGTTCCATGCATTTTCAGGTGTAAACTGAGGATCTGGGGTTTAAGGGCTGTGGCAGGATTTTCACCTGAGGCTTTCTTCCCTGGCATCATTTTGCTCTGATGCCCAATGCCAAGTAACCTCCAAATCCATAGGAGGACAGTGTCAACTTAAACCTGTAGGCAAGGCTGTCTGGGACCCTGACAGTCAAACCAGGTCCTGGACTCACCTGCAGCTAGAGCCAGTGACTAGGAAGGGGCCAGGATGGGAGGTGCCCACATGGATACAGGTGAAAGGGATGGGTGAAAGAACCGGGGGTGATAGGTGGTCAGCCCTGACCTGGGGGGCCTGGACAGTGGCCTCTGAGCTTCTTGGTCACTTGTGAAAAGGTGTTGTGTACTAGTCTTTTAGGCCACCAACCAGCTCCTAAATCATATGCTCAGCCTAGCTGAGGCTCCTTTCTGGCTCATTCCTTAACTTAAATTAACCTGTTTCTTTTATTTAGCATTTGCCTCGGGGCTTATTACCTTTCTTCTGTAATCTTACTTTCACTGCTTCTAGTCGTCTGCCTGGCTAGAGCCTGCCTGGCTTCTTGCCGCAGGCGCATCCTCTTTCTCTCTTCCTCCCTCTTACCTTCCGAGATCAGGTTTCTCATCCTATCTGCTCTCTCCCTGGCAGCCCCCACCTGCCCTTTTCCTGCCTAGCTGCGGCCATTCGGCTCTTAATTAGACCAATCAGGTGCCTTAGGCAGGCAAGGTGAAACAGACGCAACACACGTGTACATAATTAAACAAACAAACGCAGCGAAAACAAAAGTAACACGCCTTCAATCAGTTTGTGTAATATTCCTCAGCATAAACAAATGTAGCACATCTTTGCCCAGTTAAAATAATAATCCATAGAAGTATTAGATTTGAGTGGCCCCAGGGCTGGATGGGGCCTGATGGGTGTTGTCTCTGAGAGGCAGCCTCCAGCACTGGGGGAAGAGGTGTCCAGCATTCAGTGCTGCTAGCTGGAGACAAGGCTCTTCCAGAGACCGAGGACAAGCCGCTGGTGGCAGCTGATCCTGGAAATTACTCTCAAGGAGTGCTGGCCCCCGGGGGTGGGAGGGGTCTCTAAGTCCACCTGTAGGCCTGGGCAGGGCATCTGTTTGAAGTGCTGACCCCCAAGAAAAGCACACATTCAGGAAGCCCAGCCCTAGCTCTGGGCTCACAGATGGTGACCGGACAGCCTATCCTGAGTTCCCTGCTCCCTGAACAGGAGCATGAACTAACACCATGAACATGGTCTGGACCTAAGAACACTGTCTCCCAAGCCCCCCCGTTTCAGGTGGACGTTTCTGACCACTCCTGGGGAGCAGCCATGCATCACAAGGACACTTGCGGTCAGAGAAGATGGCTGGTCTCAATGGGGAGCAGCCACGCATGGCAAAGACGTCGCCGGGACAGAGGAGGACCCACTTAGAGGAAGACGGTAAGTCTCAGTTTAATACAAATTCCATAGACCGTGAGGTAAGTCTGTGGCCTTCTGTGTAACCTGTGACCGCTGTGAGGACAGTTCAGGTATCCAGTTATGTTTGTTCCGTCACCGGAGTTTTACAGCCCGAAACTCTGAAGTATGATCACATACATTGTGTTTTCCACTCTCTGGGTCTCTTGGGGTGAGAGGACGTGATAAATGTGCTCACACAGAATGCCAGGTTTGCTGGTGGACACAGCTGCTCTAGCCGTTTGAGTATAGAATGACACTGAGAACAGATGTGCTAAAGGCTGGGTCCCCAGAGGTGGTGCTCTTGGGAGGTGACTGAACTGAGCCGTGACTTAGCAGCTGAGTGAGAGCCGTTGGACAGCAGACAGGGCCTGCTTAGAGGAAGTGGTTACTGGGGGCATGCCTTTAAAATCTCGCCTTGTTCCTGGTCCCTTCACCCTTCACCCTCTGCCTCCTCTGGCCACTGTAAAGGCACGTCCTTCAACCACAGTGTTTCCGCCATGCCACGGCATGCAAGCAATGGACTGAAGCTACAAGTAAAAATAACCCTTTCTTCCTCTAAGTGGGTTTCTCAGATAATGTTATCTCAAAAGCCTGACTGATAGATCTGGGATTAGGCCACACTTGGGAATCCCACCCGTGGCTGTGGGAGATGAAGACAGGCCCGGGTCCCTGGCTGACCCATGCTGCGGCTGCTCCCTGTGTCTTTCCTTTCTCCCTCTGCCATAGGCTGTTCCCTGTAGCTAGCTAGCGGCTCCCTCAAACATTGGCCTGCAGGCCTTTGCATTCTCGGCCCTGAGGGAAATCTGGAATCTGGACTGAGCATCACAGTAAGCAGTGAAGAGGCCCAAAGGTGACGTGTGAGCAAAGAGGGAGCCCTGTGTAGAGGGCTGGGCCCCGGGTCCAGGTTCCCGAGTGACCTGGCCGATAGCCTGTGCTTAGGAAATCTGCCTAGGGGAGGAGGTCAGATGAAGACTGAAAGGGAATGTGGCTCTGGCCTTGCTGGTTGATCGAGTTGTGGGGACCGTGGGAACAATGACTAGGAAGAGGACGGTTTCGTTTTCCAGGGTTCTGTTTTATTACTAGAGAACACAAGGGTTTTAAGGGGGCTGAAAAAGAGGGCTCCATGGTTAAGAGCACTGTTGCTCTTGTACAGGACCCGGGCTTGGGTCCCAGCACCCAGATGGCAGCTCACTAACAGTTTCTAACTCCAATTCCAGGGGTCCCA